AGAAGAAGAAAGAGGAAGAAGAAGAAGGAGGAGGAGGAGGAGGAGAAGGAGGAGAAGGAGAAGGAGGAGGAGGAGGAGGAGAAGGAGGAGGAGAAGGAGGAGAAGGAGGAGAAGGGGGAGAAGGAGGAGAAGGAGGAGAAGGAGGAGGAGAAGAAGAAGAAGGAGGAGGAGGAGGAGAATGAGAAGGAGGAGGAGAAGAAGGAGGAGGAGAAGGAGAAGAAGAAGAAGAAGGAGGAGGAGGAGAAGGAGGAGGAGGAGAAGGAGGAAAAGGAGGAGGAGAAGGAGAAGAAGAGGAGCAGGCACAGGCATATGTCCTTATCATAAAAATTCTTTAATTTCCTGAGCAAATGAATCACCAAGTTTTAACACCCTTTTAAAAACACCCCTCAGTTCCTGGAGCCTGAGGAAAGTTTCTCTCCTGTTTCCCCTCTCTCTGACCTCACTGGCAAATTAATCCAGAAACAAAGTCTGAATATCCAGCAAATAGAATTGCTGGATAATTGATAACAGTCACATACGAGCCACTCACCCAGCAGGGACCCACAGCAAGGCTCGATGCTGAAAACTTCTGTGAGGTACTGGATGTGGAGATCAACCCTACAGAAGATAGGGAGATGGTAAGGAAATAACTGACAGAGGGAGATAAGAAAGAGTAAGCCAGAAGAGCCATATGTATTTTGAGGAGAAGAGCAAACTGTCTGTATAAGGTCTCTAAGATGTGTTCCAATGTTACGATGTTCATGTCTTTAACCCCTAACTTCCGAGGGAAAAAGAAAATACCTAACTCAAAACTAGAATGACCTAGCTGAATGCTAGACCATCAAACAAACCTAAAATTAACGCAAGTGGCCACCTCACCCTTGTGAGTGAATGCTGATCCCATTGATAGAGACAGAAATTCTGTGGAGGCCAGCTGGCAGTGCAGGCAGTGCCACCTCCAGGCCCCATGCTGACTGTGTGTGAACCAGAGCCAAGGCATCCTGGATGTGGACTTCCACATCCAAATCCGTATAGTTCACCAGCCTCGCCACTCCAATGACCAGGGTCTCACCGCCTGTGTTGAGAAGAATCCGTTAGCCTCTGAGATGTGGGGTTTGTGGGCTCAACCATCTATTCAATTCTAAAACTGTCTTTTTGGATTAAATACACAGTCACCCCTAAGCATAATACTCTAAGAGTTTTGATACCAACCTAAATTTTTCAAGAAACTTCTAACATCTCATTCGGTCACCCAGGAGTGCTGTGGTGCAACCTCGGCTCACTGCAACCTCGATCTCTAGGGCTCAAGCATTCCTCCCACCTCAGCCTCCCAAGTAGCTGGGATTACAGGCATGTGCCACCACACCCAGCTAATTTTTGTATTTTTTGCAGAGACAGGGTTTTGCCATGTTGCCCAAGCTGGTTTCAACCTCTTGGGCTCAACCAATCTGCCTGCCTTAGCCTCCCAAAGTGCTGGGTTTACGGGGGAAAGCCATGTTGCCTGGCCAAACAACTCTTTTAACAGAGATATGGTCTATAACCTCAATGGTATAAAGAGAAAAATTGGCAGTACGATTGTATTCAAGAGACACTAACTTATTTTCATGCAAAGGCAAACCAAGAAGTTTGCAGAGCTAACAGTCTTTATAACCAGCAAATAGCACCACATATTGGTTTCTCAACCTCCACTTTTCTACTGGTAGAAGTCTGAAGCTATATTTGAGTGTGCACTGAACCTTACAGTAATGCAGTATATGAGTTTAGTAGCTCATAACTGACAGAGTACTTTCATGTATGTTATCCAACTTGGTCCACACACTATCCTGATTATTTATATGGGGCAATTAATATGACTGGCATTTTGCATTTGAGGAAACTAAGCTCAGTAGCCACAGCCTCACAGCTATTAATAATTAGTAAAAAAAAAAAAATTTTTTTTAAGTCAAGGACTGAGCCCAGTCTTCTGTCTTGCATTTCAATGCCTTTTTAGTTTAATTAGCAACTCTATTAAAATACGTACACTATGGGCACTTTCATGCAATTTCTTTTAACTCAAATATTTATTGAGTACTATGAGGAAGATGCTGCAAGGGGCACAAAATAAGTTAAAAACAGACCCTGCCCTCAAAGAAGCCTCAACGGTAGCAAAATGGGTGGCAAAATGGCTTCAGTAAAAGATATACTGTAAGAGAGGTGAAAATTAAGCACTGGGATTGCTCAGATCAGAGCAACATTATGAATATCAGGAAAGATGGAATGGGCAAGATGAGAGTTGAATTGGAGTTTGAAAGATAAATCCGAAAAGAAAGTCATAGAGAAGAGGGTGCTTATCATTTGTTTCTAGAAATTCCACGGTTTTATCCAAAACATTTCACAGCACTTTCTCAATCAACCAGTGGCTTGGAGAGAAAAAAAGAGAATTGGGTGATATTCTGGAAGGTACAGGTAGGGTTCTGTTGTAGGTATAGGCCAAGTTGATGGTGGTTCTAGGGCCAAAGACCAAGAAAGCCAAGCCAGAGGGATGTCTGCTTAACTCAGTGGATGGTAGTGACTACCAAAGACTTCTAAGCAAGGAAAAGATATGATTAAAACTGTTCTTCCAGTCTATAAGATAAATTGAAAAGATAGACGAGGAGAAATCCAATCTGCAGACAATTATAGTCTTAATCAAGTGGACCAAATCAAGTGGGCAACAGTAGGAGTGGAAATAAATGTCCTCACCTTTCCTGTGTCCCAATGTGGCCACTGAGACATGGCTTGGACTAAATAAAGCATCTCTAGCTCCTTTAGCCTGTAACGTTTGAGGACTACTGCAGAGCTGGTATCTATGGGATGCCATGGCCAATTAGATGAGGAGGAGAAAGAGGTTGCTTGGAAGAGAAAAGTCAAAGCAGAGGGATGTGGTGTGGTGGGAAGACTATGAATCTGCATTCAAATCCTTGATCTGCCATTTTACTACCTCTGTGACTTTGGGTGATTTACTTACAGCTCCCAAAGCCTTGGATTTTTCATCAATAACATGGTTAATAAAGCCCATCCCATGTGGTTTGTTATAAGGATTAGGTTAGATATCCTGGGAAAGAATCTGGCATGATATAGTACACAAGAACGCCTCAATTAACTTTATTTTCTTCCTTGCTCCCCATTCTCTTGACTGCAAGTCTTCCCAATCTCTACTGGGAAGTCTGAAGCTTCAGTGTAGTAAGTTCAGGGGATTTCAGTGCTGATTAAGGAAAAAGACATGACTACGAAGTGGCAGTAGCAAAAAATAAGCATTATGTGGGTGGTATTTTGACAGATTCACAGAGGAGGAGGAAGTCTCCCAGCATAAGACCTTCCACAGGCAGCAGTACAGGGCCCGCATCCAGAAAGGGAAGAAGGCAAGGGAACTGGGAGGGGGTGAGAAGATGAGAGAAGGGGGGCTCTGTGTCCAGATGATGTCACTCAGCAGCCTGGTGAGTAGCCTCTGGGACAGAGAGCTCCAAAGGCATCAGAGGCTTAGGGTATTTTATAGCCCCAGGGTTTTCTTACCTATGGCTGATTGATGGGTGCAGTTTCATGGGGCATGCAAAGCAAGAGGACTTTAAATGGCTAAAAATATGCTTATTTTGGCTACATTGAAAACAAGTGGATGTGTAAAAGTTTGAATTTAGCATTGGCAGGCTTTTGAGCTAATGGATCCTGGGGTGCTATGAAGAAGTAAAAAAAAAAAAAAAATAGGGCCAGTAGACAGGGCCTTTCTTTGGCTTGTTTATAAAGCATTCAATATCTGGCAAAATGATAGTATTCATTTCAACAAAGATTTATTGACGCTTACTCTATGTCAATTCCTGGACCAGGTACTTTTACCTGCTTTATCTCCTATTTTCATGATTACCTTGAAAGAATTATTCCCACCTATCAAATGAAGGAACTGAAGATAAAAGAAGTTAAATATCTTACCCAAGGAATATGGTAAGTTCAACTAAATTTGGCCTAAGGCTGTCTCTGTACCTCGAGTCTCTACATAAAGAACGGCAACCCAACTTTGTGATAAACTGAAAGCCTCAACTACCTGAGCTTCAGTTAATCACAGGCTGCCAGTTGATCAGACCATGCTCCAGTAAGGCAAACGGGGAGCTGTTTCTGGCCTCACTTACATTTTCTGTCTATAAATGCTGCCTGTTCATGTGGCAGAGTGCAGTTCTCTGAAACTTTTCTGGTTCAACAAGTTACTATTAGTCTTCATTCAAACAAACTCTGTTAAATTTAGTTTCTTGAAAGTTCTTCTTTTTAACAAGTGGTTGAGCTGGGATTCATGCAGATTCCATTTTTCCTGACTGCAGAATCTAACACTAAAGGTCCTGCACATCAAATTCACCACCACTCCCCATCCTGGGTCCCTCTTATGCTTTTATTTTCATTTCATCTCAGCCTCACAGTGATCATCAACATTATCTCTTGGATGGACATGTGCAGCACTCGAACTTAAAAGAGGCATTCCCAAAAGGCTACTACACTTTGTGGATTTTATAACATGTTCCCCTTTATTCTGCTTGTAGAAGGATTTAAATGCAAGTATAAATTTTTAAAAGAATGCATTACATTGTATGTATCAACAACATAACTTTGGAGCTCTTGGTCAATTGTCAAGCTAATCCTAGATGCCTCTGAGGCACTGATATAACATATTTATTCTTTTCATTACAGGTAAGAAATTTTATTAAAAGCCAAAAATCACTGAAATCTGAATATAACATGTAGCTCCCCCTCCCTTTTCTACCTCATTGGGAAGAATCTATACCACTAAGGAATTTTACACACTTCAGTCGCCTGAGGCAGCAAATTCTTCTTCTGCACTATCTGAACTGAATAATATTGGAAGCTAAAGGACACTTCTCTTTATTTATGTACTCTTGGGCTATGGAAAATGAAAACAGTACCAGAAAAATTGAGTTCAGGCTTTTTCTTTGGGAAATATGATGGTTTTTTTACAATAAACCCTTAGATAATGGCTGCCACAAACCCTGTTATCTGGCATTCAGTTCACCAGAAACGGAAGTTACCTGCTACTCTTTCAAATCTATATGGAATTACATGATAATAAATTATTATAATTCTACCTTGTCATATCCTCTGAATCATCAAAGAAAAATTATTCCATGTAGTAGGTGCTAATGAATCCATTATTTTTATACATAGAATGTCTCAAGAAACAAGAATTCTAAGTTAATCAGAATATCCCATTCTCTAATTATATTAAATAACTGCTACAATAGAACCTGCTGTCAAAAAGCAGTATTTTACAGTTAACTGCAAGTAGATAAGTACTTGGTATATACAAACAGATGACCTGTATTCAAGTTTCAGACAAATTACTTATTCTCTCCATTCCTTAATTTCCTTATCTGTAAATTGAAGCTAATAATCCTATAAATTAGTGGCAAGGATTAAATTACATCTATTATATGTTTATGCTATCATTATTATCACTTACTAAATGCTCGAGAAACATATTTTGAATTGTAACTTTTGAATTCCCACATCCTTTTCATGATGGAAACTGTCCCATCTGTACAATGGTTCCATTTTACAGATGGAAAAGAAAGTATCAGGAGATTGATTTGATGATGGCTAAGATGAAAAAAGCAATCTCCTAGTTTTCAGGAAAAAACTTAAATCCAAAATATAATAAATTTCAGAGGATATTGATTGCCCTTTTTATAGGATCAATGCTCTAAGAAGAAAAAGATCTTGCAGTATCACATATTTTACCTGCTATGTTGCTTGTGTTTCTGCTTAGAGTCACAATAACTGGATTTAAGGAAGAGACATATGTAAATGCTCTGGGAAGAACTGCAGAATGGTTCCCTCTGATCACAGTCACATTCACAACGTGTCCATCTTTCCCCTGAAAAATCAATTTTAAAAATTAAACCACAGTTCTATTTTAAAGTGGGACTGACTTAAGGGAAGAGAACTCCATATAGAATTACTTTTAAAAGTTAATTTTAAGAAAGTTGTTTTTAAAGGGTATATTTGCTACTTCCAAGTCTCTCTCTTCCCCTAAACCCTGCACACCCTCCCCATCCTGCCCCCCATCCCCAACACAGAGTGATAAGTGCTTGGACTAGTAGTCAAGTGCAATGTTAGATGCATAAGGACATGCTCTAAGGGGTAAATAAGAATGATTTGCAATTAACACACCAATTGTTTCTGCAAAAATATGGCAATTTCAAATAAATATCTATACCTAGCTAAACTATCCATCAAGTATGAGAGTACTCTCAGGCATGTGAGAACTCAGAAAATTTCTCCATGATACATTCTTTTATAGGATGTACTTATGGTTATTATCTCATAAAATAAATAATAATTTAAATATATATAATTTATATTTAATATAAAATATAGTTATATTATCTCATAAAATAAATTATTTTTATATATATATAAAAAACCCAAGAAACAGTGACTCTACCCAAGAAAGCAATCAAAGTAAGCACTAGGATAAAATCTGTAGAATAAACCTGGAAAATAAGCAGGCTAGATTGAAACAGGAGAACAGAGATAGCTTCAAGGAAAATGAATAACTGACATGATGGAACTTTTATTAAAAGATGTTGGATTTTACTTATAAGAAAGACATGTTGGCCAGGCGCAGTGGCTCACACCTGTAATCCCAGCATTTTGGGAGGCCGAGGCGGGTGGATCACCTGAAATCGGGAGATCGAGACCAACCTGATCAACATGGAAAAACCCCATCTCCACTAAAAATACAAAAAAAATTAACTGGGTGTGGTAGTGCATGCCTGTAATCCCAGCTACTCAGGAGGCTGAGGCAGGAGAATCACTTAAAGCCGGGAAGCGGAGGTTGTGGTAAGCCATCATTGCACCACTCCAGCCTGGGCAACAAAAGCAAAACTGTCTCAAACAAACAAACAAACAAAAAGACATGTTTAGAAAACAAAGTAAGAACTCTAGGGGGAAAAAAAAACGAAAGAACTATAAAAGAAAAAAATATACTACCTGGTTCTGCCAGCATCATTTAAATAGTTAGAATAATATAAACATGTTTTATTGATTTAACATAAAAATGGTATTGCAACTATATTTGAAAGAATTAAAAGTGGTTTTTTCAGGAAGAGGGAATTGAAGAAGGGAGAGGAGGAGCAGGAGAGCATAATTTACTATTTTCCTTTTAACCTATGCATCTATCACTTGGATCAAAAGTAAAATTCACTTTTTATTAATGTTTATTTTCTCTGGTAAAAGAAATTAAGCAGTACATGTCTTACCCATTAAAATGGCAAATATATATTAAGATAATAAAGTGATAACCCAGTATTAGCCAAAGTGCCAAAAATCAGACACTTGCACAATGATGATAGGAGTATAATTTGAAAGGGAATTTCAGACAACTGGATACTACATATCAAAAGCTTTATAATTTATATTAATTTATCCTGAGAAGAGAAACGTACCCCCAAAACATAGTTATTAGGATGATTAAAGCCCTGTTGTTTACAGTAAGAAAAATCTAGAAATTATCTAAATGTCTGGTAATAGGGAAGAGTTAAACAAATTAGAGTACAACCACATATTGGAATTGAATGTAGTTTACATATAAAAGCTAGCTTTTCATAATATTTAAGGAACTAGATGAGATTAAAATGTGGGACTAGTGATCAAAGAATATTTTGAAACTTATCTCCCAGGGGATCTTTATTTTGGGGTCATGGGTGTGCTAGGAATGTTGATACTGCTTAAGTCAACTCTGAATAGAAAGTTCAGCGGCAGCTGTGAGTGTGACTCTCCCCAACAGCACCAGGGAAGAGCCCAGACTCAAATGCCTTAATAGGCCATGATATAGCACTAATTGAAATGAAAGGAAGAGGTTAGGGACTTGTTTTTAAGAGGAAAAGGAAGCAAATGGAGAATTATTAAGAAGATATTTCTTAGAAATCACACATTCTAGAAGTTTCTAAGTTCTACAATTCATACCCATACTAGAAAACAAAATTGCTGGTGAAAACTAAGTTGTTTGTTGTTTGCTTAATAGAGAAGGGAGACTTCGCAATACATAAGCCTCGCAAGTCAACGCCCAGAATGTGCACTAGCTAAATTTATTTGTTATGTGTCACTAATACTCACTGAGAGTACAGACCAGAACTGCCTGGTTGTTTCCTTTTTAAAGAAATTAATTGATGTTAATTACAAGCTCCATTGGTGGGGTTAGTTTCCCACTTCATAGCAAAACAGACAATATAACTACTACAAGCATACTATCATGATGAGAAGTTTGTATCAGTTCACTTAGTTCTAAGAAGTGATTCACTGAAAACGTTATGTTAATAGTGGTCACTCACCCAGAGAGAAAGAGATATGAAAGGAATCCACCTACCCTGGGTGGAACTTTGCACTGAATTCTGCTTGAATTGCTTGTAGTGACATTTATAGCACAAGAGTAAGATCCAAATAATACCAGGCTAACACCTTCCAAACTAGAGCCTCTGATGGTGGCCCAGAGCCCTCCTATAACAAAAACAGCATATTCAGATGGGATCACCAACCATACAGGCAGACAAAAATTAACTATGTACAAGATGGATATAATGAAATTAAAATATGAAACTCCTTAGTCAAAAGAAAGGCAAAGCTCAAACTGCAGGAAAAAACTGGAGTTAAATACATAAACTATCATATAGAAAGGGAGAAATAGTGACAGGAGGGCAGAGAGAGGTAGCACTGCATCCTGAAGACCTTTAAGAGTAAAACCTAGGGACACAATCATGCCACAAGTCAGAACAGGTAGGTAGTAGTCTCTGAAAACTCCTTCTGCCCTAAATTTTAAAGATCATTCCTGCAATCCTATAATACATATTTTTTTCCTAAGAAACCACGTGTAACAGAGCATCATGGTGGAAGGAACGGTGGCTGAGAGTCAGGGTGAGGGCCACAGATCGCTCAGCTACTTTCAGCAGGTCATTGTAGTATGGCCCCTGAGCTGAAGGGTCACCATTTGCCTCATCTTTAAATAATAGTGTTAGCCCTTCCAGCTTTGTGATTTGACACTACACATACTAGGTTCAGGTCACTATGAAAATACAGAAATGACTGGTATCACCGCCCACTGCCATCAGAATTTTTCTACTGACCACTAAAGAGCAACCACAGAAACCCCCATTTCTTCCCTGCAGATGTTAACGAGAAGAGAGTTGGCTCCAGTTCTGCTATCACAGCACACGTTTCCATGTGGAGGAGCAGCCTTTGATCTAGCTGATGCATAACGATGCTTCTGGTCTGCCATCTCCCCAGATGGTGATACAAGAGAGGCAGTCAGGCCACCAAACAGCCTTACCCTCCTTGAGGGTGGGGAGGGGTACAGAAGCAAGACTACCTTCAGGCATGTTGGGGACAGAAAGCGGAATCTACAAAACCTGATGAAAACCTTTGAGGACAGTGTGACTCGGCGGACTAATACCCTGAAGTTAAATGAATAAGAGCAATATACAATCGTGATATAAAATATACAATATCTGGAAACAAACTTCACAAGAAAAAAATTTAAGAAGGTAAAAAAATTGAAAAATAATCTTTGAAATACTGTTGAATAACTTAATGGATGGATTAAAACTTACATAAGAAAACTAAAATAAATGGATCGAAAGAATGAACGCCATAAAGGTGACATATCTTTATAAATTAAAGCATCAATGCAATTTCAATAGACATATAAACAGAATTTGTACTTAAATTACACAAGCTGATTCTTAAGTTTAATGAAAAATAAACAAGAATAGCCAGAAAACAAAATTTCAAAAAGAAGTGTAAAGAGGTCTTCTGCCAGACATTGAAATATCTTATATAGTAACTATGGTATCAACTATATGGTAAAATAAAATATAGTCCAGAAAGAAACGCAGATCAATATGAGGCTATAGGGTAGGATACAAGTGACATTTCACATAAGTGCAAAATAAATTATTTATTCAGTAAATAAAATGAGTAAATATCACTGAAAAAAACTAAATCTGAATTTCTACCTTATATACTTCACCAAAATAAATTCCCAATTTATCAAATATTTGAATATTAAAAAGTTTTTTAACTAGAAGGAAACATGGCAGAATTTTTATTTTCCTATAATTTCAGAGCTGCAAAGTCTGTACTAAGTATTTTACAAGTCCTGAAGCCATAAAAGGAAGACATCTTTTATTATATAAAAATTAAAAATATTTATGAATTGCCAAAATAAAAAACAAAGAGAAATGATAATAAAGGGCAAATATCCTTAATACATAAAATGCTCTTTAAAATCAGTAAGAAAGAACAATACTGCATTAGAAAAAAATGGACTAAAGAGATAAACAGACATTTCACTGAAAAGGAAACACAATGCCCCTAAACAGATGAAAAGATACTCAATTTCTGTCTCAATAAAATAAATGCAAATTAAAACTACAATGAAATATTCTTTTTCTCCTACAAAATAGGTAAATGTCAAAAAGGTTGGGAACACACCATGTTAGTAAAATGTGGTAAATAAACACTCATATGCATTGCTGCATAGGCAATAAATTATGCAACCTCTAAAGAGAATATTTTGATATTTACCAAAATTTTTAATGCACATAACCTCTTGATCCAGCAATTCAACTTCTAAGAATTTATGCTACTAATATTTTTGCACATGTACAAAATGGGACAACTCCATATACTAAATAATAAAGTTGAACCCCGTTTAGGGCTGAATTACGTCTCCTGCATCCCCATCAAATTTATGTTATTACCCTAGCTCCCAATAACACCAAACATGACCTTATTCAGAAATGGGATCTTAGCAGATGTAATTAAACTAAGATGAGGTCATACTAAAAAAAGATAAGCCCCTAATCCAATATGACTGGTGTCTTTATAAAAAGGGGAATTTGAGCCAGGCGCAGTGTCTCACGCCTGTAATCCCAGCACTTTGGGAGGCTGAGACAGGTGAATCATGAGGTCAGGAGTTCGAGACCAGCCTGGCCAGTATGGTGAAACCCCGTCGCTACTAAAATTACAAAAAATTAGCTGAGCATGGGGGGGTGCACCTGTAGTCCCAGCTACTCAGGAGGCTGAGGCAGGAGAAGTGCTTGAATCTGGCAGGCAAATGTTGCAGTGAGCTGAGATCACACCATTGCACTCCAGCCTGGGTGACAGAATGAGACTCAGTCTCAAAAAAAATAAAAAAATAAAAAATAAAAGGTTTGGTGTAGGGGTGCAAGGGGGAAATTTGGACACAAACAAGAACACAGAGATAATACCGTGTGAAGATGAAGCAGAGACTGGGGCGGTGTTCTATCAGCCAAGGAACACCAAAGATTAACCAGAAGTTAAGAGAGACATGGAACAGAGTCTTCCTTAAAGTTTAGTTCAGAAGGAACCAACACTCCTGACACCTTCATCTCAGACTTCTGGCCCCCAGAATTGTGGGACAATAAATTTTTGTTGTTGAAAACACCCAGTTTGTGGTACCTGATTGCAGCAGCCCTAGCAAGCTAATACAGATCCCTACCTCATACCATGTACAAAAATTAACTCGAAATGAATCAGGTACCTACATATAACAGCCAAAACTATAAAACTCGCAGAGGAAAACATGAGCATAAATCTTTGTGACATTGGATCAGGCAATAGTTTCTTAGATATGACACCAAAAGCACAAGCAATAACGATAAATATAAACTGGACTTCATCAAAATTTAAATTGTGTGCTTCAAATAGCACTATTTAAAAAAGTGAAAAGGCAACTCACACAATGGGAAAAAATATCTGCAAATTATTTATCTGATAAGTGATTAGTATCCAAAATACTTTAAGAACTTACACCTCAACAATAAAATGACAACTCAATTTAAAAATTGGCAAGATTTGAATAAGCATTTCTACAAAGATGTATAAATGGCCAATAAGGACATAAAAAGATACTCAACATCTTTAGTCATTAGGAAAATCAAAACCACAATGAGGTATCATCCTATGCCCATTAAGATGGCTACTATGAAAAAAATAATAATAATAACAAGTACTGGTGAGGGTATGGAGATATTGTGACATGGTTTGGCTCTGTGTCCTCATCCAAATATCGTATCAAATTATAATTCCCAATGTTGGGGGAGGGTCCTGGTGTGAGATGATTGGATCATGAGGGCAAATTTCCCCCTTCCTGTTCTAGTGATAGTGAGTGAAATCTCATAAAACCTGGTTGTTTAAAAGTGCATAGCATATCCCTCTCTGCTCTCTCTCTCCTGTCACCATGTGAAGATGTGCTTGCTTCCCCTTCACCTTCTGCTATGATTGTAAGTTTCCTGAGGCCTCCCCAGTCAAGCCTCCTGTACAGCCTGCTGAACTGTGAATCAATTATACCTCTTTTCTTTATAAACTTTCCAGTCTCAGGTAGTTCTTTATAGCAGTGTAAGAATGGACTAATACACATTGAGACCCTCTTATATTGCTAGTAGTAATGTAAAATTATGCAGCCATTTTGGAAACAGTTTGGCAATTCTTTAAGAAGTTAAACATGGAGTTACCATATGACCCAGCAATTCCATTTTTAGGTATATACCCAAAAGAACTGAAAGCATATATTCATGCAAATCCTTGTACACAAATATTCATAGCAGCCTTAGTCATAAGAACCAAAAAGTGGAAACAATCCAAAGGTACATGATGAGATGAATGGAAAACAAAATATGGTATACCCATACCATGTAATATTATTTAGTCGTAAAATTGAATAAAATACTGTTATATGTTACAACATACATGAACCTTAAAAATATCATGCCAAGTAGAGAAGCCAGATGTAAAAGGTTACATGTTGCATTACTTTATTTATATTAAATGTCTATACAAATTCACTTAGACAGAAAATAGATCTGTGGTTACCAGGGACAGGGAAAAGGGAGGAACAGTGAGTGACTACTAATGTATACAGGTTCCTTCCCAAGATGTTGAAAATGTTGTTGAATCAGGTGGTGATGAGGTATACAACTTTGTGAATATACTGAAGACTGCTGAGTTTACACTTTTTAAAAATGATATGGGAATTATATCTCAATTTTTTAAGTTAAAAAAGAGATCCTCAGGGTAAAGAAAAGAATAAAATATCTCTACCTATTTCTAAGGTACAGTACCCTAGGCCAAGCCAACATTATCTCTCCCCTGGATGTCTGTCATACCCTCCTAACTGGTCTTGCTGGTTCCATCTTTGCCTCCCTACCATGAGTTCTCACACAGCAGCCTAAGTCAGATCATGTCATTTCGCTTGAAATCCTCCAATGGCCACCATCTCACTCAGAATAAAAGCTGAGTGAGCTGAGGGCCATTCAAATTCCCCAAGGTCATATAACCTGCTTTGGGTCATCTTCTACTACTCTCCCCTCACTCAATCTACTCCAGCCATGGCAATCTCCATGGCATTCTGGAACAAGCCAGGCCCACTTTGACCCCAGACTTTTTGTTCCTTGATGTTCCTTCTGACTTGAACGGTCTTTCCCAAGATTTCCCCAGAATTCATTCCTTCATTTCTCCCATATCTCCCTTCTCTAAGGCCACTCATGTCATTCCTCCAATGCCAATAACCATCCCATCACAACCATCCATTCCATCCCTCTTAATCCCCTTCCCTTCTTGATTTTTATCCTACACACTTACCATCACTGCCCCAAGAACAGAGCCTTTGTTTTTATTTACTGTACCCCCAGCATTAATAATGCCTGGTAATAAAAGCTAAATGCATTGTCTTTATGATTATTGTTGATGGTAACAATTAAAGGTTGAAGAGATATCTTGCCATTCTCATTTGAAAGTTTAGACTACGGCCACACAAGGGTCCGTACCTTAAAAGAAGACAATGCTATCTCAGCACAAAAATGAATGAAGAAAGTATGTAAAGCAAAGCCAAGATTTTCTTCAAAAAAATTCTTTCCAGGGTTTTGCTTCTGTAAACGGGTAGGTGATGATTTATCGCATTATTGTATCCATTCATTACATATGTAAATATTCTGTAAATTTCTTGCTGGTAAGCCCCAGCCTGGTTCTCTTTAAATCCCCTAGAGCATCACTTCTCAAACTGTACTCTTCATAGAGATTGCCTGAGGACATGTTAAAACACAGGTGGATTCAGAAGGTCTGGCGTGGAGCCTGAGACTCTGCATCTCTAACAAGCTCATGGGTATTACAGATACTGCTTGCCCAGGACCGCACTTTAAGGACCAAGGTCTTCAGCACCTCACACAGGGCTCTACGGGATGGCCCAATCAGTGTTGAGTGAGTGAGTAGTGATTAACTCATAGGTGGCAGGGCAAAGGAAGAGTTAATAGAAAAAGTTTAAATCCAAAAATAAGGAAAGCAGCCGCTACAGCCTCTCTCTCTCCCTCTCCCTTTCCCCATAATCTTAATAAAAGATAATTTGTACCTGCTTGGCATATCCCTGCTCAGAGTTTTCCATCTTTTGCTAAAATAATGTACAATCCTCCTAGAAATTCCTTCAAAAAACAGCATGTTCTGATAGGGTAACCAACTCATTCCAATTTTCCTGGGACCAAGTTTTAGCACTAAGAGTTCTGCATCCTAGTTTTAAAACTGAGTCTTGCGTCCTGGAAACCCCCTCAGTCCTAAGAAAACTGGAAAAGTTAGCCACCCTACCTGTGTAAAGCACTTTGTCTAGAGGAAACAAAGATGACCGAGTCACCTGTTTGCCTTAAGGTGGAGGGAGCTAAAGAAGGTATGTGTGGGCTGAACAGCAAAGGTAACTCCGAAAGAAGATCAAAGCCCCTTATAAATCTATAGAGAAAACTACACTATGCCCTACACTCAAACCAATAATTATTGGGTTAATACAGAATATGATCTTTCACTCTGAGCTCCATATATCATCTGACTTTCCTTAAATCATGGAGAAATAAGTGCAAGTTATGCTTGCTCTGTTTTATGTGCAGAAACAAGGTGGGGTGGGCCTCATAATTCACTCTTCTAGGCAAAATAGGGTCAGAAAAAAAATCTGTTCTTTTGAACAATGAGTTTGTGGCCAAACCACATTGCTTTTAAATAAGTTCTAAGCTGCAGTCCTCTGGACTCCAGAATAAACCATGACAAAAATCCAAAGCATTAAGGAAAAGGGTTTTATGCTCTAATGTTTATTCGTTAACAAACATAAGCCTCAGTATTCCTGAGATTCTTGCAATCTGGCTGGGTTGTTTTTAACTGGCTGTGTCCCTCAGAAAGCAGAAAGTTATGGAGAAATATTTGATTTCCCATAGAACTAACCCAATTCACAAGGTTATGTTGACAAGACCCACTACCCTCTGTATTGCCCACTACTCAAATGGCAATCGGTTTTGCATGCTAGCCAAGTATCCCAGTGCGCATCAGTCCACAAACTTATGAAATATCAAACATGTATGAAAGTTATGTAGGACCCAATTACACCTGACACCACCAGCCAAACTATAATCCTTTACGTGGCAAGTGAGTTCATTTAAGGGCTCAAATGTTTGTTGCTCATTTAGATACTTATGTCAGTAAACAAAAGACAGTGAATCACAGTGAATATGGAATTCATTACACAGCAGGACTAGATTCCTACCAGCAAGAACACTAGCTTCAGAGAGTCAGACACACTGTGAGACCCTCCCCAGATTACCAATATCCGCAGCTGTGGAAGGCTCCACCGTATCCAGTCTAGGTTCCACATTTAGGAAGAGGTCTTCTCCAGTGGCACTGATGGCAAGACCAGAGGGCCTCACCAACATCAAGATCCGATGCACTCCAACAGGCAGCAAATCTGTCTGACAGACTACATTGGTCTGGTTTGAGAAACTAACTTTGCAATTCATTTTATTCACTGTAACCTGCAAGAACTGGGAGTCACCAGAGAAACCAGTTCCGGTAATATAAATCATTAGGTTGACGTCGCCATCTTAAAGGAGGAAAGAAATTTTAAAAAAACAAACAAACAAAATAATCTCTCAGTGATATTACTTAATTTAAGAGGCCTCACTATCATCAAATGCTCATTCTCTCCCCCAATCCCCTCCCAAAATTCAAGGAGCTGAATGCTGACTTAAATATTGGCCATCTGTATTTATTATTGTAGTACACAGCCCCGATCTTAAATTTTCTCCAGCTAGTGAGAAGAGATCACTGATCAATTTTTTTAAAAGAACATAGTATTTCAAAATAAAGGACAAAGACAATAAAACATTTTTAGTCATCAAAAGTCTACTTCTCCCCATTTCAAATCATGACCATTTACCTTAGATAGACCAAAACATAACACTTTCTGCTGCATCAGTCAACTTCTGCCTAATGAACTAATGTATCTTCTACCCACCCATCACCAGCTACATGGCCTCTAACAAAATCACTGCAAGTCTCAGGTTTATACCCATCTCAGAGCCAAGTCACAAATCATACCAACAGAGTACCACACAGAATGGACACAGGGAGTTGACCCTTGGAGGTACTGGAAAGAGCAGGAACCTGGGCAATGAGCTGGTACGTCATTCACTCGCACAACCACCTGAAAAAAGGCAAAATTTCTTTTCAATTTTATGCATTTCATATCTGCTAGGGTATTCATAAAGTATCTGTGAAGCGCTCCCAAGCTGAAATGTGTTCATGATTCGCTTATTCTTATTCTTTTTTTTTCTATTTTCCCAGTAATTAATCTTAAATTGCAATGAATGGTTCAAAACACATGAAGCTTTCTTAAAATAATGGTGGACATGCTGAAACCCATTTCTGTAATTAAATGTGCAAAATATTGAGTAAATTTTCTCTCTGTCATATAGAAGTAAATTTCACATGCTTAAACTGCATAAGGATTTCTCATCACTCTGTATTTCCAACCAGGTACCTACTTTATGTGACAAGCCCTTTATTTGCTACTAAAGACCAACAAATTCAGTGTGTTCCTTCCACCATCACTATGTGAATATATAACTAAAGACTAGAGTGTATTTGGATACTTTAGTTGGGGTCTCTTTTGTCACAGAATGGTAGATTCCCAAAGAGAGACTATATATATTTCCCTTTCACTGGAACTAATGTTAATCTAATAGAACTCAAAAACTACTTGGAAATGAGAAAGGTAAAAAAGATATGACTCCGCTGATTCTCTATGTATAAAAAATGCATTAATAGCATACAGATTATATTTATGACAGTGTTTCTTTATTAAGGGAAGAGGTATTGGCATGGCATGGACAATAAAGAACACTTCAATTTTATCTATTCTGTTTCATTTTTTTCATAAAGACAAAAATTATAAATATATCAAAATGTTGACAATGTCAATTTTCAGTTTGGGTACCCAGGTGTTGATATTATTCCTTATTGCTTTTGTATTTTAAAACTTTATCAAATGGAAAGCAGATGACCTATAACAGAAATATGGGAAGATAGGAAAAAAATAAAAGGACATTTTAAAGACAAAAAGAATGACCTAGCTCATTTACTTTTTGATACCTCGGATAGAAGCATAAATCATATTTAGCTATAGAGATTCTCAAATTTTTGTACCATAACAGTAGTATCAACAATTATAATAGAATATTGTGGTTACAAGGCATTTATATTTTCAGGGAAATGTACATACCCTGTGGGGGTACAAAAAGGACAGCCATAAGTACCCCTGTTTTACACAGTGGCAAAATGACCCTTAGGAGCTAACTCAATGGGTCCATGATACAAATCAGTGAGGAGCTGAGTTAGACTTGAAACTGGAGCTTGCACTTAGGATGGCCCATTCACTCTCACCTGACTATGCTGGTTGGCAGTAGCCAACATGTCTCCAAATATGGGTCCAAGAAAAACTCCACCATCATATACCACACGCATGGCTGCAGCAGGATTCACTCCAGTAAGGTTTTCATCAGAGACCTGAGATGGTTACATTTCTGGTAAATTCTGTCATGGAACCAAAATCTAATCTTGTCTAATCAAATAATAAAGGGTCTTTTCACATTGTGTTTCAGATAATCAGATAGCTAGAAAGTGAAAGTAGAGTGACAGAATTGAAATATAGAAACATAACAGTAAATAATGGCTAAGGAAAGCCCCAGTAGATTAGAGAAATATTCATTTGCAAGTCGATTGCCAAAAGAGGTACAATAAACCATCTTCTAAGTCTTGAGATACCTTGCTTCTCCATGTTTTTCCATTTTCTATGTTTGCAATCCAAATTATTAAAATAAAGTGGAAAGAAACAGTGCCATGAGATAAAAGCAAGGTCTCCCATTCTTCCTCTATCTCCTTTCTAGAATTTCGATTGAAAATCAGATAACCCACACCACCATACAACTAGGAAAAAATTTTCATCTTGGGCTTCTTTTTATAATAACCAAATGCTAGATGATCATTAGATTATTTTTTAAAACCCTAAATATGCAAGAGCATCTGGTTTTGTCATTACACAAAGACAGCAAATTCTTTTCTAAACTTCCTTCTGCTACGCCATCTGCTTCCACGATCATCTAAGTCAATCACATCTGCTTAAATTATCCAATAACAGATGTAGAATTATTGCATGGTGGACACTGACCAACAACTTCACTACCTACAGTGAGTTAGGAAGGGAGACGTTGGGTTTAAATTGCTTTTTCAGGGATATGAGATACAAAATATGTGTTGAAAACTTCCAGAAAGAAAGATGATAGAATCCCTTTACTCAAATATTCCAACAAAATTAACAATTCATGACTGTTTCCATTTGTGTAATTCTTATTTTTATTTTTTTTTTTTTTGCAGAATTTCTCCAGGGCAGCAAATCCATACCACTAAAAGGGATACTATACATACCCTGATAAAATTGGGCAAATCCCCAATCTGAGTGGACCAGGACAAGGTCCACACGCGTTCGTAGCAAGTGTATAGATCCTCCTTCACAGAGAAGTCACTGGCATTAAGGTACCTGGATGTGAAGTCATCAGCATTATTCTGTAAGAGCTGGTGAAGGTGATGAGCAGAAATTTGTACAGGGACTTCTGTGAGAGAAGGTTTTGATGAAGAAAACACAGACACTAATTAATCCACCTTACTGGGTTTCATCATCAAGGATAACACAACACATACCAGGATGCCTATCAAATTTTCAGGAGACCCTTCTGTCAAAATGGAACTTCAGTAGAATCCCCAGCCCTAATTAAACCATTTTTTCCTAAGATAAAGACAAGTAGATACCCACTTTTTATATTACACTATCTTTCATTCATACCATATCACATAGCAATCAGAGAGCACAGCCATGTCAGATAAAATCATCTCAACTGTCAACTCGAAATGTAAACTCCACACACCCTTGAATGCCTGAATGTCTAATTAAATATTAGATCTTCCCTGGAAAAATTTAGCTGGCCCTGTGAATAGAGAAAAGTTGGCCACTTTTCACAGGGAGTGAGGGAGGCATACAGCAGCTGACACCCATAAAAACTTGGCCAGACCAGCTGAGGAATGTTGGCATTTAACTTCAGTTTCTCTATTAGAATTTTCTTTAAGCCCAACCACCTGCTTCCCCATTCCATGTGCCCACAGAGGAATAACAGGTCTCTGTGTTTGAACCCTGCTTTGTGCTCTACCAGAAGTTCCCATCTCATTAGCTGCTCCCAGCAGCCCTGTGAGGTGAATCATTGGGTACCCTAATGCCTACTTTAGGGATGAAGAAAATGAAACCCAACCATAGCTTGCCAGTGCAGTAAGACAGGTTTACATGAAAACCCAGGTTGCCTTCTACCTACTCAATAGCATTTCTCTTGAATTCCACACCACTCTAAAGGGTTAATAAAATATCACTGCATTTCTAAATTGCTAACGAAATTCTTATCCTTTTACAAAACATGTTTCTACATTCATACAGAGTTTCAGATTCATCACCATTCAAGAGGCCAGGCCAAGGCTGACTTCCCCAGTTGTTTTGCAGGTAGTGATCTGAGGATCATCAGTGATATAAATCAGTAGCAGGAAGTCTCTACGGATGAGCTGTCATCCATGAGAAGTAAAATCAAATATAAATAGCACAGTAATGGGCCTCACAGAGGCAGGACATGGTTGATGTTTATTCCCCCATTTACCAGAATCAACATCTAGGGATCTTCGACTTCTCCTGAGTCACCCTATTATAATAAAAACACCACTCTGTTCCTCCCACCCAAGAGGTCCTGCGCAGACCTAGGGACTTTCTGCTTGGGAGGGCAGAAGACTTTGGGACCATGTTCCAACTTTTATACAGCCCCTCTCAAGTTCTACTGAGCCTTGCTTCTGATTCTCCACGTTTCTACCAAATAAGTAATGTATCATCATCACTTCTAATCCTTGCTCTTCGTGCATTGTATGTATTCTTGAAGATTTACAAACACTCCTCTAATTGCATCCGAAAGTTCTTTCTACATTTGTTGGGACCACTAAAATCCTCCATAGTATATGGTGTCACCATTAAGTTTAACTCTGATGGACCATGGCTATCATGTATCTTGGTCTATAAAACTCTAGAAAGAAGAGGACTGACCCAGGAATCAAATACGTGGGTTCACAACTGGACCCTGTCATCAGCTATTTGTATGACCTTTTGACAAGCCTCAGGGTAGTTGGCTGAATGGTGAACCCCCGAAAAGATGGCCTAATGGCCTAATCCCTGGAAAATATCAACGTTAACTTATAAAGCAAAATAATAAACTGCATATGGCAAAAGATGTAGCTAAGGGTCTTGAGAGGAAAAATCTGTCCTAGATTATCCCCGGTGGACCCTGAATACAATTATGTAATAGGTACCCTTATAAGAGAGAGGCAAAGAAAATTTTGAGATAGAAGAGGAAGAAGCAATGTGACCACAGAGGCGGCGGTTGGAGTGATACGGCCACAGCCAAGACATGCTAGCCACCACCAGAAGCCAGAAGAGGCAGGAGCAAATACTTCACAGGAGTGTGGCCCTGCCGACAACTTGATTTTGGACTTCTGGCCCCAGAACTGGGAGAGAACCATTTTTTGCCGTTTGAAGCCACCAAGTTTGTGGTAACTCCTTATAACAGTCCCAGGAAGCTGATCCACTCAGTTTCCACATCTACACATCTTCCACATCTACAAAATGTAAAGGTTGGGGTAGCATTAACAGTAAGCCCCTTTCCAAATCTTTCATTTTAAGAATTGTCACTTTCAGACACTGGAAAATAAACAAAATAGCTTTAATACTATCACCTGACAACCTCCCAGGATGTTGTTCCCTTGGGAATGTGAGTGAGATTATGTGAGTGAGAAGGGTTGCACCCCCAATCGCCCCTTTACCAGAAATCACTGTATTAGGAAGCTGGATGCGAAAGTGTCCTCCTAGAGGTGGACTTGGCCGCTGTTGTCTCTGTGTGGTCGCCAGGACCAGTCCAGATCCCTCTTCTGTTCCTTCAGTGGGCACAGAGCTGTGGCACGTCAGAAACAAAGCATTAACGTCTGGGTTGGGGTGTGCACCTAGGAGGACCTCATCTGAAGGATGTCCTGTCTTGCTTAGGCTGCAGCCTTCCACAAAGAGCTAAGGGACCTGAAAAAACTCAGAAAGGGAGTTTTCAGGACCACTCGATGTGAGAATCATTTCAGAGTAACTTAATTCACCTCTATCATTTCAGAGTGAAAAATGTTGGCATTTAGAGCCTACTGATATGGTGGGCTTCCTCTCTGCCACTGAAGAGGTCTCAACCCTTCATTTTCAGTTGATGGTTTTATTGGTTTTTCCTGCCCAGAGGACCAGGGAACAAACATTTAGTTAAGGAAAGTAAAGCACGGGTTCAAACTTTCTGCACCTGCCTTTAATACGCCATTGCAACATGCTGTAGGTAGGAGAACTCATTTTGGAACGTAGTAGAAAAGATGAGAGAAAAAAACCTATACAGTTATGCATCACTTGACAGTGAGGATACATTTTAAGAAATGCATCCTTAAGCAGTCTCATCATTGTGCAACCATCATACAGTTTACTTACACAAACCTAGATGGTACAGCCTACCACACACCTAGGCTATATGGTATAGCCTGTTGCTTCTAGGCTACAAGCCTGCCGCTGTACTGAATACTGTAGGCAATTGTAACACAATGGTATGTATTTGTGTATCAAAACATATCTAAACATAGAAAAGGTACAGTAAAAATATGGTAGTATAATCTTATAGGACCACCATCATATATTTGGTCCATCACTGACAGATACATTGTTATGTGGTACATGACTGTATATGTAGATATATATGTATATACACATATATACAGTGTGAATATATATATACACCTATAAATACACGTATACATATACGTACATCAAAGGCAGAGCACTCAATTCTTCCCATTCTACTGAGGTGTAGGTGAAAATTTAAAAGAACAAATTAGATTATACACGTGTTCCAGAAGCTTACAAGTAGCCTGATCCTTAGTTACTGCTTTGTAAACTGTGGCTAGAAATCGTTATTACAAAGCAATGCTTATGGGGCTCTTGTGCCATCTGGTGGTGAGTTCTTAGAAATACCTATTTTTCTTCTCTAGATATTTCACTTCAAAGAATTTCAACAAGATTAATACATGAGGAATGCAATGAAGGGAACAATAACAACAACAACAAAAGGCAGTGGTGATGTGAACCTCTGAACAGCACAAAATGCCACTATTTTTAAACTAACTAATTCGGAATTAGTTCTCAAAGCATAGTCCCCAGACCAGCAGAATCAGCATCACCAAGGAACTTATTAAAAATGCAAATTCTCAGGTTTTTCCCCAAACCTACTGAATTAGAAATTCTGACAGTAGGCCCAGTAATTTTAACAATACTTCCAGGTGAATCTGGTGCTGCATTCTCAAGATTGAGAACATTGCGTTAAGCCACAAGACAGGTAGCTTTTCCTGATAAAAGTCTCACCTGTGTCTGCCAAGGCCAACAAGCATTCTTAGGAGAAGGGGCAGGTGTACAAAAGGCACTCCTTACCGTGCAGTGATGAGCGGGAGCTCCGTGCCACACCCCGCCAGCCAAGAGGTGACACTGTAGACTGGAGGGGATCCCACCACAGACACTGATTCCACCAGATTCCCCCCTGGGCGAGCCGTTCCAGAATCAGCTTGAGAAACTAGAGACCAGTGATCCAATTACTATCAAGTGACTCAAGATAGGAGACTTGCTGTGTGGAAACTCCCAGTTGGAGATGTGGGTTACTCAGATCTCAGCACACACCAAAACCATAGATTCCTACTTATCTGCTGCCATAAAGAACACATGGAGAGGAGGCAGGAGGATAGGCTATTCCGTTTAGCACAAAAAGGAAAATGTGAGGTCCTGATTTAAGGAGATGAAGATTGATTCCATAGAAAAGTTCAATAACCCCCCAGCCAGCAAAATGTCACTCCCTATGCTCTTGGAGGCACTCCTACACAGTTAATTTATTGCAGTGTAGCCTGCCACCCTTTCCTCCTTTCCTTCCCATAGCCCCTGGCATCTCTAGGGATGTTCAGGTGATCCTCTTAGGAGCACTACACTCAGAGGCACATACAGGAACATTTGGGTGTTTATCCACAGTGTGGAGCCAGCACGTGTACAGAAAGAGTGCAAGCTTTAAGAGAGACCACTGGTCAAATCCTGATTTTTTCACTTCTACTGGATTCCCACTCAGCTAATCCACCCACACTCCATTAGACTCAGTTTTCTTACGTGTGAAGTGGGAATTATGACATGCATGATTGATAGTAATCTACCTGACAAGGGGAGTTTAGTGAGATTTAAGATTTAAAATGATCAGCACAATATCAATATCCTTTTAGCCTCCTCCCCAAGATTGGTTACAATGGAGACTTTAAAGAGTTTAAGGGCAACATCTTTGTATAATTCATCCTCTCATGCTTGATGCTTAGCATACGCTAGGCATAGAGTAGGTGGTCAATAAATGATTATTTGTTCAGCTGGGTAAAATCACTGAAGGTTCAGTTCCAGGTTCGGTGATCACTAGATTCTGATCTCCTCCACAGCCCTGCTGTGGGAATTGGGGCAAAATATTCAACTCCTTTTAGCCTTGGTTTCCCCATCCATAGGTGGGGATAATAGGACCAACTCATGGGCTTCTGAGAAGTAAATGAGAAATAAATGGAAGCTATCACTGTCCAGTGCTAGTGGGAGATAAAAAGAAGTCTCATACAGGACATTAGGCAGGCGAATACCATCAAGTGTAAAACTGAGATCACATAAATGATATACAATTAACTATGAATTTTGAGCCCAATTGTGTAGTTTCTGTTGCCATTAAATAATTCTGAAAACAGAGCCACTGCCAGCAGGGTTAATGTGACAAAGTGGGAGGCAGACCGTTTCATGCATGCCACCACCATCTTCCCTCTTGTCTCCGCCCTCTCCCTTCCTGCTCCCACCTCACCACACCCCTGGATGATTCCAGGTACACAGAGAATTTGGTGGCAAAGAGGTGAGGGCAGTAAGAAAAGGTTCTGAATCCTTGGCTTCAAGTGTTTGGAGAGGCAGAATGGCATTAAAGGAAGAGAAAAGAAAAACTGAACAGCACCTATTATTCAGTCCTGAGTTTTCCAACCAGTGGGCTCCAGTGTATGAAATATTGATTCCCTCAGCCTTCTGGAAATTGAGGCAGCACTTGGGGTCACCAAAGACCCCCTAGCCAGTTGTCTTGAGCACCAAAAAATTCAGATAGTCACCTAGCATGTCGCTTGAGTAGTGTCATTTTCTAAGTGTGCCAGAGCACGAACAGGTTTGGAACAATAAGCAATGACCCAGATGTCCCCAAAACACTTAAACTATGGAAACAGAGGAGAGATGGGATTTCGATGAGAATCGAAGACGATGTAATTTCAAGGCTGATAAAGAGTCCTCTTGCCACCCATCCCCAAGTTCCCCTGCCTTCAGTACTGCAATGTTTAGGCAAAAGACTGAAAAGTCGTACATTTTCTAAATCAAAATGTAAATGAAGGTATCATCTTTTTCTTCTTGGAGAGGGAAAGAAACTATAAGAAGTAGGCTAGCTGAGCCCCAAAGCCACAAGGAATTTGACAGAGAAGGAAACATGAGCAAAAGTTGGAAGCCTGAAGACACTGAGGGCAAACTGCACGATTCTGCCTTGGCTGTGGGTGCATATCACAAACGGCCACCTCAGCAGGGCCCTGGACTAGCGGGCAAGAGCTAGGTGAGACCACTGTGCCCAAGAGTGGTCAAGGGAAACTTCGGGAAGGAAAAGCCAGGCCTGATCGCTAAATAATGAGTGGGAAGAGTCTGGAGAGACAGAAAGGACAAGGGCCTTCTCTCTGAAGAAGATGATTACCTTCCAACTCTCACTGCATCTGTCTTGAAGGTTGTAGATCAGACTCTTAGCCCATTTACAGGGACAGACACTGCTGTGTTCCTTCTAGCACCTGGTATGACATATTAACTCACGGAGAGGTGGAGAAATCCTGCTAGCCTAATGATGATAATAATAATAACAATAATTGCTTATATTTATTAGGCACCTTCTATGGACAAGGCCAGTAAGGAGTGCTTTATATTAAACTTTATCTTCACAGTAATCTAATGAAGTAGAGTCCTTATTATACCCATTTTACAGATGAAGAAACCAAGACTTCCCAGCAAGAAAGTGGGAAAACTGGAGTAAGAGTACAGACACCAGAAGCAAAAGCAAATAGTGGGAAAAATAGGAAAGAAGAGGGACTAGAGACATAGAACCAAAGGCACACAATCCCAGCCCCACCTGTTTTCTAGAGCCAAGGCAGGCAAAAAGGAGGATCACCTGTTCTCTCCTCATTAAAAAAACAGTAACCCCTAGCAGGAAAGTTTGAGGTAGGCATTTGATAGGCTCGTGGAGGAGAGAGAATTTGCTGATTACCTGTTACGTTTGTGTCTGCAATAATAATTTCATCCACATAGAACAGGCCCGTCTCCTGCACCAGAGGGACAAGGTCAATCTGATGAACCAGCACTGGGGAGTTTGCCGGAGGGGGCTGGAGATCCCCGGAGCAACGCACACAAGTCTCCCAGAGGTCAGTGCAACGGAACTGCCAGCTGAAAAACAGCGTGGAGTGGAACTGGGCTCTCAGCGAGCACTTGCAGTCCTCTCCCGTTAGAGCCCTTGTTCCCAAACCTGGGGGGTCTGCAGGCTATGCAGCCAGGAGAGAGACCCCATGAGCCCCTGCACCCAAGCAGTCCC